CGTGGCACCATACGGAGCTCCACCGAAGGCCCCAGTGGCTGCGTTCGTATGCCTCCCCAACACCAATTTCGGCACACCCCTCACACGTTTCGTGGCCCCATAGGGAGCTCCACCGAAGGCCCCAGTGGCAGGGTTCGCATGCCTCCCCACCACCCATTTCGGCACACCCTCACACGTTTCGTGGCCCCATAGGGAGCTCCACCGAAGGCCCCAGTGACAGGGTTCGCATGCCCCCCCACCACCCATTTCGGTACACCCCTCACACGTTTCGTGGCCCCACAGGGAGCTCCACCGAAGGCCCCAGTGGCTGCGTTCGCATGCCGCCCCCACACCAACTTCGGTGCACCCCTCACACGTTTCGTGGCCCCATAAGGAGCTCCACCGAAGGCCCCAGTGGCAACGTTCGCATGCCGCCCCCACACCCATTTCGGCACACCCCTCAAACGGTTCGTGGCCCCATAGGGAGATCCACTGAAGACGGTACTCACACCAGCATTACTCACAACTGCATATGGTTGGGTCCTTCGCCAGGCTAATTTTTTCAAGAGCTGGTCGCGGAAAAAAAAAGAAAAACAGTGGAACGATTCAGCACGCCAGGCACCCCTCTGATGAATCAACAGGGGGCGGCGGGAAACGCCTATGTGGCCGAGAGTTGGGCCAGAGCTCGGCCAAGCGATCGGGCCAGTTGTTCCCCGAGTTGGTTTGGAACAACTTCTGGGAACGCGTGGGGGGGCAAGACGTGGAGGAGGGAGAGGATCAGGACAAAGGAGGAGGAGGAGGAGGAGGAGGAGGAGGAGACCTCTTTGGCGCCTTCTGGGGCAATCCTGGGGGCTTGCTGGGGGCCTCTTGGAGGCCTCTTCGGGGCCTCCTTGGGCCTGCTGGGTGCCTTTGGTCTTGGGGGTCTCTTTGGCAGTCTTAGGGCGTTCCTGGCTTGTCTGACGCCGTCGGAAGCCGTCATGGGGGCCTGTCTGGGTCGTCTTGGGGCCATCTTGGGGCATTTCAGGGCTGTCTTCGAGGCCATATTGGGCGCCTTGGACGCCTCTTGGGTCGTCTTGGGGCCCTCTTGGGGCCGTCTTCGGAGCTTTTCGAGCCGTCATGGGGCCATCTTGGAGGCCTCGTGGGCGATCTTGGGGCCTCTTGGGCCGTCTTGAGCCGTCGGAATGCCGAGAAGAAGCAAATGCCGCAATCTGTCAAAACCCTTTCGAAAAAAACAATGATTGTGGTTTCTTCGGGCCCTTCTGGGCGACCTCTTGGAGGCGTCTTGGGCCGTCTTGGGCGCCTCTTGGGGGCCTCTTGGGCCGTCTTAGGCCGTCTTCGATACATCTTGGGCCGTCTTGGATGCATCTTGGGGCCATCTCAGCCGTCTTGGAGGCCACCTTGGCCGTCTTGAAGGGCCTCTTGGGGCTGTATTGGGGGCCTCTAGGGCCATCTTGGAGGCCTCGTGGGCGATCTTGTGGCGATCTTTGGGACATCTTGGGCCGTCTTCAGCCGTCGGGATGCCGAGAAGAAGCACATGCCAAAATGCTTCAAAAACCTAAGGAAAAAGCAATGATGTTGGTCTCTTCGGGTCATCCTGGGGGACCTCTTGGAGACCTCTTGGAGGCCTCTTGGGCCATCTTGGGCAATATTGAGGCCATCTTAGGCCGTCTCGGATCTTGGAGGTATCTTGGGGTCATTTTAGCCGTCTTGGAGGCTATCTTGGCCATCTTGGATGCCTCTTGGGGGGCCTCTGGGGCTGTCATGGGGCCATCTTGGAGGCCTCGTGGGCGATCTTGGGGCGATCTTGGGGGCCTCTTGGACCGTCTTGAGCCGTCGGAAGGCCGAAAAGAAGCAAATGCCAAAACCTGTCAAAACCCTTCGGGTCCTCCTGGACGCCCTCTTGGAGGCCTCTTGGGCCATCTTGGAGACCTCTTGGGGGCCTCTTGGGCCGTCTTGGGCAATATTGAGGCTATCTTAGGCCGTCTTGGAGGCCGTCTTGGACCATCTTGGGCGGACTTGGAGGCCATCTTGGACCATCTTGGAGACCATCTTGGTCCAATATGACAATCTTGGAGGCCATCTGGAGCCGTCTTGGGGGATTGTTCCGGGATTGAGATCCCTTTCGGGTGGCCGGCATGACGGGCCGAAACCCCAGGGGGAGTTCTTTAGAAAAAAAACAAAACTAAAACCGAAAGGGTCTAGCACGCCGGGCACCCCTGTGGCACGCCAACAGAGGGCGAGGGATCAAAGACGCCTACGGCGAATCACTGCCGCCCCCTGCCTGTTTGGAAGCGCCTATGTGGCCGAACGTTGAAGCCAGACCCGCCAAGCTATCGGACCATGTGTTCCCCGAGTCGGTTTGGAAAGCCTTCGGGGAACACGTGGACTTCTGAAGGTCATCTTGGCCGTCTGGATGCCTGACCAGGCCAGCGAGCGTCACCCCGTCCTCTTCCTCTCCGACTTTGGCAACGCCAGCCCCTCTCTCGCCCCACCTCTTCCTCTGGGAGGTTCTGCATTTCCTTGGGATGCCATCTGGTTTTCTTGCCTTCTTCCAGGCGACGTATGCATTTGCGTGCGCTAAGGCCCCGCTCCTGGGAAAACTCCTGGACTTTGGTCTCATTTGTTCAGGTGTGATGCAGGGCGACCCTGCCAGTGGCTCGATGTGGGCCTTGTCTATGGACCCTCTTCTGAGGGCTCTCAGGCAGTACCTTGACCTCTCTCCTGGGTCGGATCCGGGTGTGTGCGCGGACGATGTGGTCTTGGCTTTGTCAGAGGTCAAGGCACTCAAGAGAGTGCACGGTGTTTTTTTTTTATGCAGCTGAGGTACTCGCGGGCCTCCAATTAAACATACCAAAGTGTGGCATTGTCCCCCTGGAAGCAGAGTTCTCTCCGACCTTGCAAAGGCAGATAGAGGCTCTGCTCATGATGCGCGCCCCTCGCTGGAAAAAGATCCCTGTGGTGGCCATGGCAAAATACTTACGGGCGTGGATCGGCCCAGCTGCTGACAAGGAAATGTGGGCGAGGATGTTTCGGGAGTGGGTGGAGGTAGTGGATGCCATTACAAAGCGGCAGGCCGCCCCCTCTGTTGCGATCCAGCTTTGTAACTCGCGCTGTTTCCAACTTCTCCTATCTCTGTCAGCTTGCCCCTCTCCCCAAGCAGATCGCGCGGTGGGAGTCCTGGGCTCTTCACAGGGTTCTTCACCTTCCCTCCTGTACTTTCCCTCTCGCTGACCTCCTCGCTTTCAGGGCCTGGGCCAAGGTGCGCCCGCTCTCCCTCCAGGTCCAAGGCGCGGCGACCTTGTGCCGAGCGGCGTATCAGACAATAGCGAACTGGAGGCCCCTCTTCTCTCGGCTGCAGCAGAAGGCTAAGAGATTCTTGCCGCGTGCTCAGTGGGCCGCACACAATTGGTCTCCTGCATTTTGGAAGCGCCGACCCTTTGTGCAGGAACTGTCCCTGGCCGCGGCAGGTTTTGTAGAGAACGATCGGCTCCGTGACCCTGTTAAGTCGGGTCGTAAGGCTCTTGCGGAGGCGCAGCTGCTGAAACCGCGGGTCCAGGTCCAGCGTGTTTTTGGCCGTTCCTTTGGAGCCCTTCTGTGCCGGGACAGGTTCGGGGACACGATCAGTCGTAGGATCTCGTCTGGGGCTTCGTGGCCCCCGTCTGCGCGCGCCTTGAAGGCCATCGACTGGCCTGCTCTTCGGTATCGCCTGCTGCATGCGCCACCATCGTGGCAGATCTGCATCGTCGAGACGCTTGCGGGTGGGTGGGTGACGGAGAGGAGGGCTTCTCAGAAGCATTGCCAGTGTCTTTTCGGGTTTGTGGAGGAGGAGGCCTCGGACAGGCAGGTTCATTATATGTGTTGCCCGCGTTCGTGGTCAGCGATACTCGCCGCGTGGTTTCCCGAGTTGCCTCTCCCCCGGCCCCTCGTCTCTCGGCTCGCCCTCGCTCGCTCGCGTACCGATGAGGAGCGCGATTTAGCTTGCCAGCGTATTGTCATTGCGTGCTATATGTACCACGCACATCGTCGCTGCCCCTCCCAGTCTCTCGATCATTCGGCACGTGCTGCACGTGCCCAGATGCTGCAGCAGGCCGAGGTGGTGCGGTGATGACTTATGGACTTCCCTGGGTTACGTGCGAGGAGGAGGAGGAGGATGAGGGGGAGGAGGAGAAGGAGGATGAGGAGGAAGAGGAGGAAGAGGAGGAGAAGGAGGAGGAGGAGGAGGAGGAAGAGGAGGGTGATGAGGATGAGGATGAGGAGTCGGGGGATGATGATGATGACGATGATGATGAGGAGGAGGAGAATGAGGAGGAGGAGAGGTAGGATGATGATGAGGAGGAGGAGGAGGAGAAGGAGGAGGACAAGGAGGAGAAGGAGGAGGATGGTCCTCGTCGTCGTCGTCGACGTCAGTCGTCGTCGCCGTCGCCGCCGCCGCCATTCTCTCTCGCGCGCGCCGCTTCCTGTGGACCTTTTGAATGCTTCTCGGGAGGCCTCCTTGGCCTTCTTGGGGGCCTCTGTGGACTCTTTGAGGGAGTCTGTGGTCGTCTTAGAGCGTTCCTGGCCCATCTGACGCCGTCCGAGACCGTCTTTGGGGCCTCTCGGAGCCGACTTCAGGCCCTCATGGGCCGTGTCAGGGCGGTCTTCGAGGCAGCCTAGGCGTCTTGGAGGCCTCTTGGGTCGTCTTGGGGTCTTCCTTGGACGAATTGGAGGCATCTTGGACTCTCTGGCCATCTTGGAGGCCATCTTGGACCATCTTGGGCGGACATGGAGGCCATCTTGGAGGCCATCTGGAGCCGTCTTGGCGCATTTTTCTGGGATTGAGCTCCTGGAGTTCCTTTTTTCGGGTGGCCGGCGGGACGGGCCGAAGCGCCATGGGGAGTTCTTATGGAAAAAAAAACCCAAACCAAAAGCGGAAGGTCCGAAGCAATTTTGGCGGCTCAAGGTTCCGAGGGGCCGTCGCCGGCCTCACAGGGCTCCCCTCGGGCGTCTCTCGTCCCTCTCAGTTTTGCACATTTGCAGACGGCATGATGCGCTTTCGCACGTCTCACAGCGTCGGCGCGCTGCTCCTGCTGCTGGTAGCGCGCGGCGCCCCGAGCGCCGGGTCGTCGGCGAGCGGGGCGCTGGCCCGCCCGAGGCTGGAGGGCTCGGCGAGCGGTCGCCCTCGCGAACCGCAGGCCGAGTTCGGGAGGCGCCAGGCTACAAGCGGCGAGCAGTTGCTCAAGCTCTTGGCGAGTGATGGGATCGATCTCCACAGGTTCGGTATATCGGTGGCCGTTAGCTCCGACGGGGCCCGCGTGGTGGTGGGGGCCAACTACTATGACGACCAGGGCGATCAGTATGGCTCCGCGTACGTGCTCGACGGGGCCACTGGCGAGAGGCTGCTCAAGCTTGTGGCGAGTGATGGAGCCTTCCTCGACTATTTCGGTACTTCGGTGGCCGTGAGCTCCGACGGGGCCCGCGTGGTGGTGGGGGCCTACGGTGACGACGACCAGGGCAGCAATTCTGGCTCCGTGCACGTGCTCGTGACGACGACCAGGGCAGCAATTCTGGCTCCGTGCACGTGCTCGACGGTACCACGGGCGAGAGGCTGCTCAAGCTTGTGGCGAGTGATGGGGCCGGATACGAAAAATTTGGTCATTCGGTGGCCGTGAGCTCCGACGGGGCCCGCGTGGTGGTGGGGGCCTACTATGACGACGATCAGGGCCCTCAGTCTGGCTCCGCGTACGTGTTCGACGGCACCATCGTCACCACCGAGACGGCCACGAGTTCCGCGACGTCAAGCACTACTACCACCACGACAACAAGTGAGACGACCACCGCGACGACCACCAAGACGGCCACGAGTTCCGCGACGTTAAGCACTACTACCACCAAGGCAACCACCGAGACAACAAGTGAGACGACCACCGCGACGACCACCAAGACGGCCACGACGACCACCGATACGGGCACGATTTCGGACACGTCAAACACCACAGCCACCACCGAGCCATGGGGATTAATTGCAGTCTTCGCTGGTGTCTTGATCTTCTTCATTCACAACGCGGAGGTTGAGGTCAACTAGTCGGAGCAGGACGCGGAGATCGATGAGCACGAGTCGGCGCAGCGTATTTAGCACGACGCAGTGCCTGTATCATCAGGCTACTCTGCAGAGCGGCACTACGCCAACTCACCTTTGGCTTCGAGAAGCCACGTTTTTTCTTATACATATATCGGCGCACCGGGTCCGGGGGCCCGGGGCCGGGACCCCGACCACAAATGTGGGCCCCGGGGGGCCCAGACGCTCGTCGGGGCTTGCCAGAGGCCTCCCCGGTCAGACAAGACGGCCCAAGATGCTGAAGATGGCCTCCAGACGTCCAAGGACGCCCCCAAGACGCCCCAAGAACGCCGTCCAAGATCGTTCGCAGGCGGCTTCGGAACGCGCTCCGATTGCTCCAGATGCCTTCCAAGACGCCTGTCATGACACCAAGAAGGTCCCAGAAGCCTCCAAGACGCTCCGAGAGGCAGCCCAAGAGAGGCCCAAGAAGCAAAAATCGTGCCATTCCTATGGGAAAACGTATATTTTTCGCATGTTCGCCTCTTGGGCTTTCACCGCGTCCAAGACGGCCCAAGAGGCGCCCAAGACGGTCTACGAGGCCTCCGGGAGCGCTCCAAGGCTGCGCACGAGTGGCCCAGGACGGCCCCAAGACGGCCCAAGAGAGCCCCAAGACGAGTTCGAGAGGGGTCCCAGACGGAGAAAGCCAACCTCGAATTCCGAGCTTCCGGCCCAAGAGGCTCCAGGAGGCGCCAAAATGCCGCCAAGAGGCGCCAAAAGGCTCCCAAAAGCACCCCAAGACGTTCCGAGAGGCACCCCAAGAGAGGTCCAAGAAACAAAAATCGTGCCATTCCTATGGGAAACATATATATATATATATATATATATATATATATAGAGAGAGAGAGAGAGAGAGAGAGAGAGAGAGAGAGAGAGATACATATAACGCCGCACCGGGCCCGGAGGCCCCGGGGCCGCAGCCCCGACCGCAAATGGGGGGACGTCGGGCCCAGCCCGCTCCCCGGCGGGCCCCAGGTCGCCCCCCGGAGCGCCCAGACGGCCGTCCAGGCGGCTTCAGGCCGCCCGCAGCCACCCTGAAGACAACCTCCAGCGGTCTCCGGCGGCTCAAGAGGCGTCTCGAACCGCCCCAGACCGCCCCAGACGCCTCCAAGACGCTCGAAGACCCCTCCAAGAGATCCCCCCAGACGGCCCTGGGAAGCAAAAATAGCCCCGCGCCCGTCGTAAAACGTACATTTTTACCATATTCGATTTTTTGGCGTTCGTACCGTCCTTTACGACCTCCGACTCTCCATAGACCGCCCCAAGACGGCCCACGAAGCCCACAAAAGAGCCCCAAGACGGCCCCAGAGGGGCCCCGGACAGTCCAAGAGGCGTCCAGGACGGCCCAAACGCGTCCCCGAAGGGCCCCAAGAGGGGCCTAAGAGGGGACACCCAACTGAACCTTCCAGCCCCCCCGCCCCAGGAGGCTCCCGAGAGGCCCCTAAGAGACTCCCAAGAGGCCCAAAGAGGCCCCCAAGACGCCCGCGGCAGGCCCCCAAGGGCTTCCAGAGGCCCCCCCAAGAGGCTTCCAAGAGGCACCCCGAGGTTCGCAGGAAGCCCCCAGGAGACCCCCAAGAGGGCCCCAACGGGCTTCTGAGAGGCTTCCCCAGACACCTTCATGTACGTCTACATGTGCCCTCCGGTCCAAAAACCTGAGACCGTTCCTGGGACGCCGCCTGATTGGCACATGTTTTTTTTGTCTCTGTCAATGGGTGGAGCGGCAGCGACCCTTGTCGCTGGGGCCGGGGGAGCAGGCCGGGGGCCCGAAAATTTGGCGAGAAGGGCTTGCACGAACAGATTTTTAGAGACCACCTGCCCGTGGAACTGGCGACGCTGGGTGGCTTCATAGTTTCACAGTGCCTGGCGGCGGCAGCGTCGGCGCTTACTTTTCCTGCCCATGCACCTCTCTCTTCGGGGCCAGGGCCCGCTGTTGGGGGCGGCCACACAGGTCCCAGGCCGATCAGACAGCCGTCCCGACGGACCAAGACTGCCCCGAGCTGCCCTGAAGACGGCTTCCAGAGGTTCCAGACGGCCCAAGAAGGTTCAAACAGCAGCCCGGCGAGTGCTCCGAGAGGCCAAATTTAGATATTTTCCTTTCGTTTTTGACGGATTTCGGGCTTCCAACGCTCCCAGACGGGTCAAGAGGTTCCCCAGACCGCCGTCAAGGCGGCTCTAGAGGGGAGGCGTCCACGACGTTCCAAGACCAATCCAAGAGGACCCGCAAGAGTGCTCCATCCCCTCAGGAATACTTGCACTTTTTAGTATATTCGTTTTTTAGTTTTAACGCAGTCGAAGACAACCCCAGAGGTCTCCAAAAACGCCCACAGACTGCCCATGAGGCTCTCAAGAGTGCCCCTAGACGGCTCAAGAGGGCCCCAAGATGGACCAAGAAAACCCGAAGACGGCCCACGAGGGCCCCAGGATGGAGGGGTAATACGCGCTGCTATTTGGAACCCTCTGCCCAAAAATGACCCCCGAGACCGCCTATAGGTGCCCAACAGGGCAGGCCGAAAGAGGCCCCTGGGAGGCCCAAAAGAAAACACAAAGAGGCTCCCAAGAGACCCCAGGAGGACTCCGGGAAACCTCCAGGAGACTCCGAAGAGGCTCCAATTGGGCTCCGAGAGACTTCGAAAGAGACCTGGGCCCCAAGATACCCCAACATGGTTGGTAAGCTATCACAGCGTGAGGAGACAACACGAAAACGGTCTGGGCACGTCCCAGCAGGACCCGAGACGCCTCAAGAGAGTTCCTGTTTCTTCCATATGTCTTTCTGCCTCCTGTTTGTCTTTCCTCGTCCCGCCTGCACGTGCTCCGCCAGCCGGCGTGACAGCGCGTGCATGCCGTTTCAAGGCGGCTTTCTCTCCGTGCTCCGTTACCGCTCCTTCGTCCTGCACATGCTCCGCCAGTTGGCGTGTCAGCGCGTGCATTTTATAGCACGGCTGTGTTCCTCCTTCGTCCGTCTTTCTTCGATCTTCCTGCAAGTGCTCCACCACCCGGCGTGACAGCGCGTGCATTATGTGTTAAGGCAGTTTGTTCTCCGTCCTCTGAGTTTCTTCTGCACGTGCTCCGCCAGCTGGCGTGGCAGCGCGTGCATTTTATTTCAGGGCAGTTTTCGTCTCGTCCTCCGTCATTCCTCGTCCCTCCCGCACATGTTCGGCAAGACAAGCCAAGGACATGTGACGACATCCAAAGACCAGCAACCTACGGCCTCGACATTTCATCATACAGCCAGTCAATGCCCCAAGCCTGTTCAGCGATCTCCTCGACGAACCCACAAGCCAAGACCTGCTCGTCGTGACAACGAAGAGGCAACCCTGGACGGCGCCATCGGGGCCACAAACACCTGCCCCCCCCACAAGAGCGCCTGAAAAGCCCAAAAGCCAGCCCAAGGGAGCCCTGCGACATCCCATAACCGGCCCACGACGGACACAATTCCTCTCCGATTGCGAGTCGCCTGGAAACCCCGACCTCCGTTTCATCACAGCGCCATGGGCTGGACTAGAACCTAAGCGCGCGCGAAGCGCGCGCGTGGTTCTAGTTTCATAGGATCAGTAACTGCCTGGTCTGGTCCGACACAGACTGCACAGTCCTTTTGTAAGGTTGCGGCTACATTCAGCACCAACCCTTTGGCGCTCGAGCGCCACGTTTTCCCACGCACCAGTGTCAGGCTGCAATGCTGGCTTGCAGGCGACGTCCGCCAATTTCGGCACACCCCTCACACGTTTCGTGGCCCCACAGGGAGCTCCACCGAAGGCCCCAGTGGCTGCGTTCGCATGCCGCCCCCACACCAACTTCGGTGCACCCCTCACACGTTTCGTGGCCCCATGAGGAGCTCAACCGAAGGCCCCAGTGGCAACGTTCGCATGCCGCCCCCACACCCATTTCGGCACACCCCTCAAACGGTTCGTGGCCCCATAGGGAGATCCACTGAAGACGGTACTCACACCAGCATTACTCACAACTGCATATGGTTGGGTCCTTCGCCAGGCTAATTTTTTCAAGAGCTGGTCGCGGAAAAAAAAACGGAATGATTCAGCACGCCAGGCACCCATCTGATGAATCAACAGGGGGCGGCGGAAAACGCCTATGTGGCCGAGAGTTGGGCCAGAGCTCGGCCAAGCTATCGGGCCAGTTGTTCCCCGAGTTGGTTTGGAAAAACTTCTGGGAACGCGTGGGGGGGCAAGACGTGGAGGAGGGAGAGGATCAGGAAAAAGGAGGAGGAGGAGGAGACCTCTTTGGCGCCTTCTGGGGCAATCCTGGGGCTTCCTGGGGGCTTGCTGGGGGCCTCTTGGAGGCCTCTTCGGGGCCTCCTTGGGCCTGCTGGGGGCCTTTGGTCTTGGGGGTCTCTTTGGCAGTCTTAGGGCGTTCCTGGCTTGTCTGACGCCGTCGGAAGCCGTCATGGGGGCCTGCCTGGGTCGTCTTGGGGCCATCTTGGGGCATTTCAGGGCTGTCTTCGAGGCCATATTGGGCGCCTTGGACGCCTCTTGGGTCGTCTTGGGGCCCTCTTGGGGCCGTCTTCGGAGCTTTTTGAGCCGTCATGGGGCCATCTTGGAGGCCTCGTGGGCGATCTTGGGGCGATCTTGGGGCCTCTTGGGCCGTCTTGAGCCGTCGGAATGCCGAGAAGAAGCAAATGCCGCAATCTGTCAAAACCCTTCGAACAAAAACACTGATTTGGGTTTCTTCGGGCCCTCCTGGACGACCTCTTGGAGGCGTCGTGGGCCGTCTTGGGCGCCTCTTGGGGGCCTCTTGGGCCGTCTTAGGCCGTCTTCGATGCATCTTGGGCCGTCTTGGATGCATCTTGGGGCCATCTCAGCCGTCTTGGAGGCCACCTTGGCCGTCTTGAAGGGCCTCTTGGGGCTGTATTGGGGGCCTCTGGGGCCGTCATGGGGCCATCTTGGAGGCCTCGTGGGCGATCTTGTGGCGATCTTTGGGACATCTTGGGCCGTCTTCAGCCGTCGGGATGCCGAGAAGAAGCACATGCCAAAATGCTTCAAAAACCTAAGGAAAAAAGCAATGATGTTGGTCTCTTCGGGTCCTCCTGGGGGACCTCTTGGAGACCTCTTGGAGGCCTCTTGGGCCATCTTGGGCAATATTGAGGCCATCTTAGGCCGTCTCGGATCTTGGAGGCATCTTGGGGTCATTTTAGCCGTCTTGGAGGCTATCTTGGCCATCTTGGATGTCTCTTGGGGGGCCTCTGGGGCCGTCATGGGGCCATCTTGGAGGCGTCGTGGGCGATCTTGGGGAGATCTTGGGGGCCTCTTGGACCGTCTTGAGCCGTCGGAAGGCCGAAAAGAAACAAATGCCAAAACCTGTCAAAACCCTTCAGCAACAGCAACAGCAAACAACAGCAGCAACAACAACAACAACGTCGAAGCAACACATTGCAACGACAATGATGCATCGCAACAGCGGGACAACAGCAGCAACCACAACAGCAGCACCACCAACATTGCATGGTAACGATGGCAGTAGCACCATCAACATGTGCAACAACCCACGTATTAAAACAACCTCGTCATCACCAACATAACATACCGCAGACTTTCTCTTGCATTGCAGCTAGTTAGTTAGCAAGAATTAACAACACGTGCAACGACAAACGCAGACACCAAAGACATTCAAAGACATCCGAAGACGTGACCGACCGACCCGCACCTTCCGCACCTTCCGCACCTTACGGAAGGTGCGGAAGATCAGCCGCAGGGAACATATTGCTTGTTTTCGCTGTCGGTCCGGCCGAGGACGCGCCCCAGAGGGCCCCAATACAGCCCCAGAGAGCTCCAGGACGGCCCACGAAGGGCCCAAGACGACCGCAAATGTGGGCCCCGGGGCCCTCGGGGAGCCCCGGGGCCTCACAGAAGGCCGCCAGAAGGCACCAAGGAGGCCCCAAGAGGCTCCAGAACAGACCCAGGACGCCCGAAGGTCGCTCCCAGACGCCCAACATGGCCTCCAAGATGGCTTCAGAAGCCCCCAAGACACCCCAAGCGACCCCCAATAGGGCCCCAAAGAGAGCCCAAAGGGGCCAAAATAACTCCATTCTCTTCGGAAAGCGTAAATTTTCAACATATTGCTTGTTTTCGCTGTCGGTCCGTGCTTGACGACCTCAGAAGCTCCCGAGACCGCCCCAATACGGCCCAGGACGCGCTCCAGAGGGCCCCAATACAGCCCCAGAAAGCTCCAGGACGGCCCACGAAGGGCCCAAGACGGCCCAAGAGAGTCCCCAAGACGGGCCCGAGAGGGCCCCAGAGGAGGAAAGCCACCATCGAATTCCAAGCTTTCGACCCCAAGTGGCTCCAGGAGGCGCCGAGAAGCCCCCAAGAAGCGCTCGGAAGGCTTTTTTGCTATGTTTTTTGCATTCTCGCTGTTTCGTGTTTCTGGCGCACCGCCCAAGAGGCTCCCAAAACCGCTCCAAGACGGCCCAAGAGGCTGCCAACAGAACCCCAAGACGGCCCGAGCGAGCCCCGAGACGGCCCTAGAGCCGCCCAAGACGGCCCAAGAAGGTCCCAAGAAGGTCCCAAAAGGGGCCCAAGAGAGGGAACGCGAACCGAAAAATCAAGCTCTCCGCCCCGAGATGCCCCCAAGAGGCCCCAAGATGCCCCCAGGAAGCCCCCAAGAGGCCCCAAGAGGCCCCCAAGAGGCCCGAGAGGCCCCCCAGAAACCCAAAAGAGGCTCCAAGAGGCCCCAAGACGGCACCCAAAAGGCTTCGAAACTCTAAGAGGCCCCCGAAGACGTGCCAAGAAGGTCCCATGACGATTTCAAGAAGGAGTCCAGGATGCTCCGAGGAGGCCCCAAGAGACCCCCAAGAGAGCCCAAGAAGTCTCCAAGAGGCCCCCAAGCGACCTCAAGCAGCATCCAGGAGGCCGGAAAGAGGCACACAAGAGCCCAGCGGTCCAGGAGGGGGCCGAACGAACATTTCCAGCCCTGGGCTCCCAGAAGCCCAACAGGAACCCCCACGTAACTCGCAAGACCCCACCCCCCGACGCCTCCCGAGACGCCCAAAAGGTTTCCTAGACAGCCCCAGATGCAACAAAAAAATGATACCGTAGAACAACCCAATCAGATTTTTGTTAGGGCTATTGGGCTATACGGCTATCGGGCTGTAGGGCTATCGGGCTATAGGGCTATAGGACTGTGACCTTAGGGCCATAGGGCTATAGGGCTATGGGGCTACAGAGCTATATGGGCTATGGGGCTATAGGGATAGAAGGCTATTAGGGCTATAGGGATATAAGGCTATAGGGCTACAGGGCTATAGGGCTATACGGCTATAGGGCTATAGGGCTACTGGGCTATTAGGCTATTGGGCACCCCCGGGCACCCGGGCACCCCCGGGCACCCGGGCACCCCCGGGCACCCGGGCACCCCCAGGCACCCGGGCACCCGGGCACCCTGGCCCGGCCACCGAAATCGGCCACCCGGGCACCCCCGGGCACCCGGGCACCCGGCCCCGGCCACCGAAATCGGCCGCTCACCTCACCTCAGCTTTATATCCGCTAGGACCCCTACAGAAGCAAGCTCTGATTGGGGAACTGCGTTTCCCAGACAGCCCCAGATGCAACCAAAAAACTGCGATGCCCAGGGTTGCTTTTGGACAATCATTTCAAGACAAAGCCAGCCTTGGCCACGAAGAGCGCATCGGAGGCGGAAAGGAGGGTCGTCCGGTTGCAGACCGGACCGGGCCGCCCGGGGGCCCGGGGGCCCACGACCTCTACCACAAATGTGTGGCCCGGGGGCCCCGCCAGACCTTGAGGGGCCCAAAATCGCATCGGAGGGCGGTTCGATGAGCGTCACGGCGGCCCCAGCCAGCCGCCCACCACCCTGAAGACGGCTTTGACGGATCGGATCACGGGACGTCTCCATCAGCCCCAGAGGCTTCGAAGACGCCTCGTAACCCGTGCAATTTGCCCCACGAGGGCCCCGAGAAGCAAAAATATATCCATTCCTTCCGTAAAACGTATATGTTTACCGTATTCGTGATTTTCGTCTTCGCGCCATCCTTGAC